GTTGTTGTGGAATACTCGCTTTTCTCTTTAACTATTGGATCAGTTTAACTATTGGTTAGGCCATAATTTCAGGTACAAATACTCTGGGAGTTACTTGGCTAGTCACCGAACTCGTAATAAAACTAAAATAAGGAAAATTGGAATAAAATTAAAGCGTAACCTGTTACGTATACTAGGTTCCGGTGACCGCCATATTGGTTCGCATACTGCAGGAGTACCGATTTTTCATTCCCGGATTCAACAACTTCTTTTTTATACAGGTATGTCACCTTTCGTTTGGCGCGATGACAAACGTTGTGCAGGAGAAACAAGTATTTTATCTTTGGACACATTTCGAATGTTTTAATAAAGCAAGGTAAGGATCAGATCGTCTACATTTCTCAAGTAAATTTTGAGCTTGTTTTACAGCATTTTCAGCTAATTTATTACTTTAAAAAAATTCGGGACAATTCCAATTTTTTGTGCCCGAAATGACTTTTTCTAGAAGTGAAAGGAGAATAAGGCCAAATCCAAGATTTTACTCAAGTCATTTTGTGAAGTGAATATTTCATTTAGCACCAGTATCAATTTTGAGTTTGACACTGTTGATATTCTCATTTAAAGCCCATACATGTCACTGATCTCATGCACTGGGATCTGGTTTTCATTGTCATAAACATCATATGAAGGTCTTTGAGGTTCTTTCGATTGAGCACTTTTAATTGAACACTTCTTTGATTTTGTGACAAAAATTACATTTCTTGTAAAATGACGTACAAGAATTTCGAGATTTAGCATGATATAATAAACCACAATACTAGCAAACACAATTAAATTTTTGATACACTCTGGAAATGACTAGCAGGCTTATGAAATTTGTCATTATTTGCACAAAATATTGTATTGTTTATTGCGAACTTGTTAGACCTAGCTTTCGGACTGTAGCGCGTGTATCTTTTATGGTAAGATATAGAATCAACTTCTTGCGTCGCAGTTACGGATAGCGATTTCATTCTTTCATTGAATATTTGAACTAGGGTTAGTTCTGATACCTATAATTTTTACTATCCGGATAACGGATATATCCAGGTATTCCGTATTTTAGTTATCCGGTTAACCGGATAGTTACTGATAATTTTAGAGAACCCATTTCACAAGATTTTTGCGGGGAATGGAATTTACCTAAAACCACCGCACAGTTCGTTCTATAGTATAGTATTTTGTGTTCTGGATTATTCTGTGATTTCATGCACGACGAAATAAACTTTGTACATATATACTGTAATAGCAATAGCATACATATAAATGAAATCATGAGCACACAAAATCATGCATTTCGATCATTTTATTTCAGTGAGAAGTACTCAGAAAAAAATATAATACAGAGGGGACAAAGTTTATTAATGGCAAAGAAAAAGGATAATTTTGAAAAAACGGCCTAGTCAGAAATTTCTTCTAATTTGAAAAAAAAAATTACTTATTTAACATGTCACTGTAAATATTCTCACGTTCGAACCAATTAGGCCACAACTTTAATCTATTCTATTCGAATACCTTTTAAACTAAATTAACAGAGCCAAAAAAAGTTGCATCAGTTTTTGAACAATTTTACTTATCACACTATGTGAGTAAATGCAGCCTATAATAGCGTTTTGTGTTATCTATCACTGGCTCAGAGTCGTGGTATTTTCGTTAGCATTTCCTGCCTTATTTTCAATCAAAAATGTGTGTTTTCAGGTTTACTCACTTCAGTATAGATAAATACGACGATAAAATAGTACGGCGATTTCAGTTACGGGCGAAATAAAACAATTATCGGCAATATATACCGACGAGACCGCACCAGACTTTTCTCCCGAATATGTTCATATATATATCAATATCTGCATTTATTGTACCAAATCAATTATACTCATTGGAATGCAATAATAGCTTAAATTATAAATTCGCAAGATCGCAAAAATACGAATGAAAATTATTATCAACTGAAAAACCAGGCGGTATTATCAACGAGTGTCATGATCGCATCGACTGCTTCACAAATCGTCGCGAAGTATTTATTATATACGTATATTTCACATATTTATTTTGTACTACGCGACGTATCAATAAAAATCAAGCGGCAGCTGTCTCAAGTTTTGAACACTCTAAAAGATCGAATACAAATCTAAACGAAATGGACATCTCTAGTAATCAGTATCGATCAGTTTGACAACCAGTAACTACTGCAAAATAAACAACATATAGCAACGTAACAAACAAAATTATGTAACAATGTAACTAACAAAAGTAGCAATATTGAGTGGATAAAAGTTGTTATTATATGCTCTGGGAGATGTCAGTGGCCACAAAACAAAAAATATAAAAATCACTAATGCGCATATGCATGTTTATACTGCTCTATTATCCGATTAACCGTCACGATAATAATCGGATATCAGATAGCAAAATAACTCTCGGTTGACCGGTTAACCGTTATCCGGATAATCCGACCCCAATTTGAATAGATTCACCTGGCATCTGTGCTCTCATGTTACAATGATGTCTTGTTAGTCCCATGTTTGACTTGCTTGGGTAGGCACATTTTAGTAAACTTTCTTTTCAGGCATTCGATCAAATTAAGCAGGAGCTTTAGATTTTATGCAATGCCCTGATAAAAATATCATATTTATGAACGAATATTCTCCGGTTTTCAGCAACATTCACATAAAAAATAAGAGGATCTGGTCTGTTCAATGACGAATCAGCCACCTCTAAATTAATTTTCACTGGCGCTCTTTGAATTCAAGCAGCTTTCATGTTTGTTTGTGGGTAAACACACAACTGTTCAGGATGCTTGAGTATATTATGGATATAACATTATAACATATAGCACGAGGCGCCATTATACCATATAGTACTAGACTAGAAGGCTATTTAAATTATTTTTCCAAAAATCTTGTGACTTTAAAGAATTCACCTTTCACTTCTGAGAGTGAGAGTGTTCAACGAAGTCGTGAGTTTTTTGATAAGGTAAATTACCAAAAAAGCCAGGGTCGGATTAACACGATGCCTAGGTTTAGGATATTTCATTTGTGAGACTCTTTTCAACAATGACGTCACAAACATAACAAAGTCATGACACAGGGTAAGCGATCGTCTGCAAAATTCTCAAAAGAATATGTGTGCCTCATCTTAAAATTTTTCCCTTTTCGTATCTGATTCAAACGTTGCTTTTTATACACGTTGTTTTAAATCACTGTGTTCTTTGTCCAAGCCATTTTTTAAAAGTGTTCAAGAGAACGATATCGACCAAATTGCTGGTTAGTGAGGTAGACATTATCAACCGCAAGGTGGTGTGCTAACGCCGCATTGGCTCGGGGTTTCGCGCTTCATTTGGAGAACTAATGCCACTATTACTCTGAGAATGTTTTTCACGTGGTTTTTATCTACACTTGAGCCTATCTCACCATTTTATTATTTTTCAGGGTTCTATCCACTATTCAAATATTTATTGTATTTGATTTTTTTTATTATTTATTTAATACTTTTCATTTATTATACACGTGTATTTTATTTACTTTTGAGCCTATTTCGCCATTCTGATATTTTTAGGGTCACAGCCGTGTTTTCAAATAATCTATGCCACTTATTAATGGCGCGGTAGCGATACGGAGTAATTTTCTTGGTATTTTGAGGGGAACCGGAGACATTTAATTCAGAGGGGAACCGGAGACATGTTGTAATGGGTTCCATACCTTTGCATCCACGTACGCTTGCACCCATAACCTGCACATATGTATATTATCGCTCACGGAGATTTGTACCCACGTTGCACCCAAGAATATTTGAGTTTCAAACAAATGGCATTTTTCATTAAATATATTTATATACTGAAAATCAAGTTTGCTTGGTACGCGCAAGTAATAACGACGTATGAAAACCTTAAATATACCTGGCACTGTAAATGTGGCAAAGTCCGGTTTTTGAGCTGCTGCATTTAGAATTTTCCAAAATATAAAACACGAAATCTCGGATTCATATTTACCACACAATTCGCGAGCTCGTACATCGGTGGCATGCGTGTGGTATTTCGTTATTGAACCACTGATTGCATGATTAAATTCTTCAGGGATGATTATGAATCATATTGTCTTTGGCAGGGCTACTCAACTGGCGGACCGCGGTCCGAACCATAAAATTTGGGCCGCGTCTGCTTTTTTCATTTTGGCAGCATAAGCATCGTTTTATAGTTTCAGTTGATTTTGATACAATTTAAATACACAGCTATACGGTTTTTCGTACTGGTACCAATGTGCGATACTTGTGTCCATGTTTGCGAGCCATTCATTGCTCTTGTATTTAATTTAATATCGCATTTGACGTTTCGTTTATTTAATGGAATAAATTTTCTGTAATGTCCGGACCCCAGTAATTTTAAAGTTTCGTAAACGAACCTTTGGTGAAAATAGTGAGTAGTAGCCCTGGTCTACGGTATCTTCACAGACGACACGTAAACACTAGTCGTCCAAGTCCATGCATCTGGAATGATAAAATGGTCGGGCAATTCCACGCCTGAATTCGACTGTCGTGTCGTTTTTATTATATATTTCGTTTAAAAATCAAATTTCTTTGCGGAAATGTGTAAATCATACGAAAACACCTGATTTCAAATCATCTATTATATTTCGGGTTTTATGTTTCAACACAGACGTCAACGAGACTGGAAACCAATGGTAAACACGAACTATTGGTTTACGGAATCAGGGTTTTGTCCCACACTTCGGATTTTATATTTTGTCCCCTCCCAATTTTTTGAATAGCGCTAATAAATTGCGTGCTGCGATTATTAACAATTTTTGACACAGAAATACCATTCAACTTCCTATATATAGCTCTGTGATAATTCAAAAAGAGATAAAATAAACAGTAAGAAAAGAGTTTCACCACAAACAATATGCTAATATTTTGCTAGCCCATGGCCAGATTTGGTCGGCAAGACTTCTGAATCACTTAGAATAGTTGCCTTGACTCTCCTTTATGTATACTCTAGCAAACTTCTGGATTCACGTAAAGTAATATTCTTCACTGTCGCTACATTGGATTCTCGTTTGTCAATTCATCGACAAGATTCTTGATTGCCGTCCTCAGTTACGCTTCCTACAGTATTATTGCATTATGGATCCTTCGGCAAAACTTTTGAATGACTTGGAATAATTGTTTTTGCTCTCGCCAGATCATACTTGCATAATAGATCCATCGGCAAGATTCTTGAATAATCACTTCGAATAGTTGCCTCAACTCTTGGCACAAGATCCTCGCACTATGAATCCACCAATGGGACTATTGAATCACTTAAAATAACTGTCTTCACTCTTGTTAGATCATCCTTACATTGCGGATACACAAGCAAGAGTATAGAATTACTTTTGATAGTTGACTTCACTCCTGCTACATCATCCTTGAATTGCAAATCAACCAGTATGACTGTTGTATCACTTAAATACCAAAAGACTCTTTACTCTTGCTGCGGTATCCTTGAATTACATATCCAAAAGCATATAAGTGGGATGAATGGTTTATCCCGTAGAAACCCGTTTGATAGCATTATTGAGTTGGATACCAATGGAAGATTGCTGTGTTTATTTGGAAACAGCTACATGGTCAGTTGTATCCAATTGTGTCGGCGTTACAGTAGTCTCTGAGTTGGTGATGAGATAAGAAACTTAGTGTTCGTAATCCCGCTAATTTGACCAATAATCTAGCGTAAGTATTATCCCACATTCCTCTCGAAGCGGTCATGCTTCGATGCAGCACATGCAGCAGTATATCTTGGAGTTTACGAACAGATTTATTGTCGACAATACCAGATCGATCTAAATGCAAATGTAATAAGTTGAAAAACCCACTTATTCGTATGAACTAAAACTTTTAATGTTACTGTACTATTGTAAGTAGTACTTGCATTTCTATTTTATTTCAAATTACCACACTACAAGAATAAAATGCGAAAATAATTTTGTGACGATTATGTCAATATAACATTTATGCTATAGGTCTACGTCAATACTGAATCTGAACCACCAGTAATGATTCATATAATTCTTGTAATATGGCTAACGCGCCTGAGATTGAAATAATATTTTGTGTTGAATTTGGTCATATCTGTTTGTAAGTTTAGACCAAAGCGGACACAATACTAATTTGTACTACTCACCGCAGGATACCAGTGCCAATGCTGTGAATATAGCGACTTCTTCTGGGCTAAGACCAAGAGAACTAAATTGTTCAGCAAAATCGAATGTACATTTGACGAATTCTCCCATATCTGAGTCAAAATATATTTCACGTTAAATTGTTCATTTGGATTGCGTGATTGTGCATTTGTATAGTATAACCAACTCATATTTCATATATCATATTTGTCGATTAGTAATAGAAGCTGAACCTACCATTGGAAACTAATTCAGATAAACGATTCCGTTTTCCATCTGGAAATAGAAATGTTTGGTTGACCGGATTGTAACCAGATAACATAACGATGAGCATGACCTGTAAATGAACGTAAAACTTTTCTATTTATATAAATAAATCAATTACAGTTACATATGTGATAGTCTCGGCCCAAGGCCGGCCAGAAAAAAAAACATGCTGGTTTGAACGATGCATAGGGATAGAAAAAAAGGAAACACATTAAAAGATTAACGTGATGATCGATTTGATAATATTGCACAAATTGCCAAACTTTCTTGTAATAATCAGCGAATTTGATGTATGAATGAACTAAGTCTATTTCATCTGTGACCTTACCTTGAGCGAAAATCGATGGATCAACATTCGATATAAAATAGTTTATGAGAAGTCAATAACAAGATTATTTAATTTTGCCCATACCATTTGTTTGGGCAATTACCTCGAGTACTCCACTTTTTAAGAGATGAATTTGATCGACTTCCGTCAACATATTGATAAATCCAGGTATTTGTTTCGCGAATTCAACGACTTCACAAATCGCCATGTTGAATGGTGATGTGTTTTGAATTGTAACGTTACATGTTGCTTTCTGCCAGTTTCGTATGAAATTTGGTACATTATTATAGCTTTTTGTATATTGCACTAGTATATTGAAAAATGATATAGTGGTATTAGGCGCGTAGTTATGTCACCCAACAGTTTTATTGTCCAATGCATCTCTTCTGAAAAATCGAAGTCAAAACAATGGATAATATCAAAAAACACGCATCCGTCTGTGCCCTCATAAAGCTGTGTATTATTTATACTGTGTATTAGTTAGTTATGTTTTTATTCTTTACCTCGAGTTGACTGTGTCTCTTTCCCCCGATGTCTGCGCTTAGAAAAAATCCTCGCTTGGCCAGAAAAAAAGTGGTTTGAAAACCGAGACGAAGTGTATTTGCAATATCATCATATACACAGGGGCTTTGCTTGCTCTCCGAATGCTATAATATATTATAAAGGTAGAAATGAAAGTTCTCGGTATTTGGTTTCCCGAAGTTTGTTGCTTTCTACTGTTTCGGTGATTATACTGTACAGCTTGTATTAAAATTATGTTAAGAATAAAATATATAAAATATAACAATAAACTGTTTCAATGCAATCTGAATGCAGCGCGGGTGGAGGCAATCTATGAAATTATGATAGGCTTTGTTCAAATGTTACTAGTTTCGGTAAAGCAATATTTAGTAGTTTAGTGAGTTCTGATAGATATGATATAACGTGAAATGCTTTTGATTAAAATATGGAATAGGGAGCAACCAAAAGTGAAAACTTCTTACAACCGCGTTCTATGTTAAAAATGAAATAATGCGCTCATGCAGATATGTCAGGCTTACCTCATTATGTAGGTCATACTGGGAATGACAGTGAAACGATATTTGTCGTGATTTTCAGGCCAGCACGTATTTTATAATACTGTGTTTTTAAAACAGATTGATATAATTATAATTCTGAATAGATGAATTTTGATAGCTTATTTTTGATCTTGGATATATGTGATACGAATAAAAAGCTGTAGTGTTATGAAGTGAAAATTAAGTATTTTATATTACCTGATTGCTCAAATCTGTGTTTACTACGTTGTTCATGCTTGCTAATGTGTTACTGCATTGATATTCATTGTCTTCGCTTGAAAATTCGCTCTCAATCCGTGAGGAGCAAGAACTGTCATGGGATGATGCTGACCACAAACGCTTCTTCTGGTTGTATGGTATGTAAGGCGAATTTGGGGCAGGCCAGAGATTGCCCTTTGCATTTTCTTCCAGTCGTTTGGGAAATTTATCAAACGAAAAGTATTTATCTTCTCTGTTCAAAGTCGACAACTGGATATGCCCTTGGTCCATTTCCCTTGAATCATATTGCAAAGCTTCGATGAAGTTCAGATGCCTAATTTTTTCAGATGTGGATTTTTGGTTTTCAACGACGGATATTGGGCTCCAATGAGGTTCATTTGGTTTACAGGCAGAATATATAAATTTCTGACGTGTTACTGAATTCCCACTGTCTCTGAAAACGTTGGGAACGTCATCACCAACACATAGCAAGTGCGAATGGTTTCTTCTTGTTACAGAGTGGCCGCTTCCCTCATTTTCGGTACGACTTTGTAATAAATATTTGCAGTTGATAAATGTTTACTTTTTGGTTTCTTGGCTGGGTTTAATAATACATTAGCGTGTTTTATTGTTTTGCGGGCGTCAGTCGTTAGCTTTACTAACTTTTCGGTTTCACAGCAAACACTCCCGGTAGCATTCTCACCCGATCGTGCATAGCTTCTGAACGTTAAATGAACTTATGAGAATACCATAAATCAAAAAGTACACCCAGTAGTTATAATGCTATAAATTGCCCAACGAACAAGACAGAATTTAAAAAAATTTCCCGGGTTAAGTGTGACTTTATTTATTACCTTGTAGCATTTCCAAATCATAGGAATTCTGGAGATAAGTGTTCCATATTATTCAATTTTCTTCACATGGGATAAACGTTAAGTCGTTTTTAATTGCGTGGGTATAGAATGTAAAATTATCGTGTATACGTTTAATATTTTAGAATGTAGATTATCTAAGCCGCAAGGAATATTCTCTGTCAGCATTAATATAATACCTCCACGCTGAATATCTTCGTGTCAAAATTTTAACCTTTTCTTTATTTGGTATTCTTCCATACTTGACGGCTAAACAAGAGGTAAGAATATAATTAATTCTCGTGTCTTGAATTTATTACTTGTAGATAAAAAAGCAAACATATAAGGACTCGTCCAACCTTTTCGAGACATTCCGACTTTTACGCATGTCTCATATCTACATGACTGACACCTGTTTCTAGACTCTCTGTTTATTTCGCAATTTCCTCCTAATTTGCATACTGGATATTTCAGATTCTGTCCCGTGGTTCGCCGGAAGAATCCCTGTAGAATTTAGAACATGGAAATAAAAATGCAATTGCATTATTATTCTTATTTTTAGACAAAACAAATAAACGATCTAGAAAATATTAAACAAATAATCTATTCAACCGATCAAGTAAAATACCAAGAACGAATAAAAATTCAAATATTTTTCAATAAGGAGATGATTTGATAGATATTTTTGCGCTTTTGCGAATGCGAAAAATTTCAAGATCAGCAATAAAATTCCAGAAATTACAAATAAATTTAGTTCAATAAAAATACATATAAAGTATATTAGTATATCAATAACACATTTATATTGCCTCGAAGGCTTTTAAAACGGTAGTCGCGATTTCGCCACTCGATAAAACAGTCGACGTTTTCAACGGATATAATGATTTTTCTGTTGCACAAAACATTCACTCCTTGACCGATACGGGAATGTTTAAAATGACTTGCTATATTAATTTAATTGGGTTCAATTTAACCTGGAGTTGCACCGACAAAATAGAAGCATTGCTATTCTAAAATACCCTGACAATCTGCGGACATAAAAATGTGTGGTAAAGTGCCTCATTAAATCCTGTTGCGATTTGTATTTTTGCGAATTCAGCAAATCTGAGCTGTTCCAGCAAAAGATCTATCGCAATTTTGAGACTCTGAAGAAGCGTTTTAATCTGTTGCGGTCCTCCTAAACAAAACTTATGGTATGGTATTTTTCGTTTTATTTTTAGTATTTTATATAGCTGCTTTTCAATCTAAAAAACTTGTGTTGCGGATTCACTCCTTTATCTATCTTTAGCACCTCGTTGCCGAAATTTGTGATTTTGTGAGAATGAACACTGAAATAAAGATTATATAAACGGCTTATATAACACGTTACTCCGACAAAAACAATCGGTTGCTTTAACAAAATGCAATCGCACGCGGTATTAGCAACTTTTCCATTCTTACAAAAAATTTCAAAAGGGAGGGGGGGGGGGGTGATTCCTTATAATGTGAAACAATTCTACAACTTCCCCACAAAAAAATCATATTCTATGTTGTCGTCCACAGTTATTCAAATTATCTTACTTTGCACCCTTCGCACGCATCTACTCCATAATGCACACCGGAAGTATTGTCACCGCATACTCGACAGAGTACAGCAAATTTGTATTCACCATCTAGAACAGAAAATAGACCATGACCTCGGTTATAAAACAGTCGTTTGGTGATGCTTATTTGCGTTATTCGTTCCAAACAAGGCCTTGTAGAAGCACCATCTGATATCACCTGATATGTTATGAGCTACTATTTTTGGAAAGAACGGCATCTTTACGATTCGTCATTGCTTACCCAATTCATTACATCCTGGGTAAGTTGGCGAGCATGGTAACCTGTGATACCAAGATAAATAATCAATGTTTAACGCTTTAGCCACTAGGAGGCCATTGTGGCATTGTTGTTTTTGACCAGGTTTGGTTTATCCCATGAATTTGCGACGCTATCATAATTACATTTCGTGTTTTAGGATCACCTTCGTATGCCCATCTAAATATCTTATTCGGATTTTTAATTTGCTAATGCTTGGCAGTAGGGATGCCATTTTTGGATTTACGAATCGCATTGATTCGAATCGCATCTTTTCTGAATCGATTCGAATCCGATTTATGCGATTCTGAAAAAGAGAGCGATTTACCAAAAAAAAAATTGAACGTTTGTTAAATTGTTGTTTAAATCTGCCGAATGCGTTTATGTGGCACTCCAAATAACACCAAATTACGGACCGAAAAAAAAAACATTGAACGTTGTTAATCGTTGTTTTCGGCGGTGTTAAAACTACCGAATGCGTTTATGCAGCACTCCAAATAACACCAAATTAGGACCGAAGAAAAACATTGAACTTTGTTAATCGTTGTTTTCGGTGGCGTTAAACTGCCGAATGCGTTTATGCGCACTCCAAATAGCAACAAATTACGGGACGTAAATAAATGAAAATGAATTTTTCGTGATTGACTTTTTACTTGTCTGCCGTCATTTTTCAAGTTCAACACACTCTTTTACGCATCACTCGAGATGATGTGTGGCGTAATTACCAGCAAACTGCGAGTTCAGTTTTCCACTAAATAGCCGAAGTTTCCATTATGCGCGAATTTAAATGGATCGTATACCTGAAAATTCGTGACAATTTTGATGAAAATTTTCAACAGCACACCTGCGCTGCGACTAAGTTATTGTACGCCCTGGCATGATTGGATAAAGAATCAGCTACCGACGTCTAGATAATGTTTAATTTTGATTGAAATTTAGTTTAAACTTTGTTCTGAGTGAAATATTTTGCATACATTTGAAGAGAACTATTACTGAATGAGTTCATCGGCCGGCAAAGTTAATTGACCATCATGTTTCTTATCCTAAAATATATATTTATTTTGTTTGCGTTTGTCAGGCTTCCACTCGAGTGGCGGTAAACGAAATCACGTCTTTTTTCATCTGTTACAAAAAAGTAAAATTTACTTTTAATTTTGTTAGCGCGATACAAGCGGGAATAAAACATTTCGGATTATTTCTAGCAAATGTCATAACGGACAGGTGGGAGTAAATAATACTTGAAGAATGGCAACTTGTGCACTGTTTTACATCAACACGTGCCAAATTTCATACCAGACCAAGCATACTGTGCGAATGCCGTCTTACTTTAGCCCCAGCGACCATGTTTGATCGAGATAAAGCGTCAACCAATTATCGCTCGTCAGCGCGGCGTCCATTATACACATTTGGACTTTCTTAATTATGAAATTAAACGTAGTCCACGATAAAAATGAAGCCCGAGTTAGCCAATAACGCTGTTAGCCATAAATAATATTGTCTCTAATATTCATGGAAATTTTTGTTCGCAATCGTAGTCGCGGGAACGATTGTTTTTCTCGAAATTTTTAAAAATTTAATCGTGGTTAATTTTATGGTTTTCAATCATATTCTTGCAAGCATTTCCTATTTATAGTAATTCAAATGCAATTAGAATGTTTTTGTCGTATTACTCAAGCTGCTAGCATAAATATAAAATATTTAACTAAGATTTTGACGTTAATTCAATATAACAAGAAGTGAAATACCACGGTCACATATACTGGTGTGGGACAAGAGAAAGCAGTGCTGTTACTGTGTTTACGACATAACAGTACAACTGTTCACTGCTTATTTTCTCATATGAATTCCATCAAATTGCCTCAGCCCTGATACAAGTATAACACAATAACTCAGTATTGTAAGACTCACAGATAAGTTGCAACAGCAAGTTTTTCATCAATGCATTTATTGGTGATATCTATGGCCCACATCTTTTTTATCATGATGGAAATAAGTGTGGCTTATTCACTGAAAAACCCGTATCATCCTTGTTATATAGCCTATTCCATTTTCAAATTTTTTTCTATTCTGAGTTTGAGCTTTTTTGTGACTTTGATCAAACATACGCATGCAATAAAAAAAAAGTTTAATGGAATTAGATTCGGAAAGATTCGATTCGACAATTTTTGATTAGAGATTCGATTCGAAAAAAAAATTACCTAGAAGTGGCAACCCTACTTGGCAGTATAAGTTACCGACGTATGTCATGTCCTTTTACTATCATTAGTTCAAAATGTTTGAAATAAACGAAATTATCAGAGACATATACGATTCACCATATTTCTCAAAAAATTTACGATTATAATTCTATTCTATAAAATTATATTTATGATTGAAAAATAGATTTGTCGATAAGTTGGTTGTTAGTTTATCGTGAAAGAATTCGGATAACGCTTATGCGATAATATTATAGTAAATGGTAAGCATTCAAGTTCACCGCTGTTCACTTGATAACTACGCAGATCTCGCCCATTCATCTGCATTCTAACATTAATTTCTTTATCCTGGCCTGGAGCTGAACCACACGTCGATTGACACGATTTGTATGCAAACATGTAGTGTGAATTCAACTGATTTAGTGTTAGCAATTTATTTTTTTATCTTCAATGATGTAAACATTCCATTTTGTCCATGACCGTGGTCACGTAGGCAGAATTCGTTAACTATATTTCTTTTATTTTACACCTTCAAACAATAATAAATAATATGAAATTCGTATAAGTAATAAAGTGGAGTGTTCAGTGATCCAATATTTTTTGACATGACCTGCTTTTATTTATACAAAAGTCATACTTTTGAGCAAAAGTCATCAAATTTGCGTTCGCGAATTGCCATCAAAATTCATATGGTACTACGTATACTTGCTAACCTATAAACGAAATGAACATCACGTTTTATTTGAAATAAATGTTCTTAGTTTTGTTTGAAGTTTCAAGATATTTCTCTTCAAATAATCCAAAATATCAGCTGAAATATAAATAATTGGATTTATTCAAGTTATGTTTAATAAATTCATTAATCAACACTAGAATTCAAGGCACACGTGACAAGTTATCAACTACAACGTTTAATCCATATAACCTAAGGTTTCTGTTTAAGTGTGAGAGATTGCATTAATAAGCACTTGCAAACATCTCTGAGTGAGTCGTAATTATAATTTTTATGCATGAAATAATTCAGAAAAACTGTTTACCCAATATTTGATCCAGTGTAGGAGTCTGTGTTTTTGTTTCATTCATTATAACTGTCTTATAGCACCGATTCAATGCAACACAAACTGAAATAGCAAAAATAAAATAATTTTCGTCGCTTCTTTAATGTCGCCACCTAGAGAATTACAGTGACTTATTAGCAAATAACGAATTATATTTATATATATTTCGATGTTCATCTTGGCTGGCCCACATATCGTGCTAGATCGAAGATAGCTGTTCTAAGCTAATGGAGCATTGAAACCCTAAAAGCTTCTTCGTTGAATCAAGGTCAAATGCGGACGAATCAATAATGACATGGTATATATATATATATATATATATGTGCCCATTGTGTTCCTCGAGCATGTATAGATTCGCAATTATCTGGCTAAATTCACAACAAAGAATTTGTGACTAGTGCTGGATCTTTATGATAACGGTTCAGAAACGGATTTAGACGATGAGAGATTTATAGGGCTAGGCCGAGGTGGTCCAATGTTGTCGGCTCCCGAGTCACAAAATTATTTTAGCATTGTTCGCGGGTCACAATAGTGCCAAGGATAAGTAAACAGTGCAATACACAACTAACACTCTTATTGTACAAAAACTCTGATCATTATTTGTCATTCATCAAGCTAAGACATACCACCAAAAACTCACTAACATGTGCAAAAGTCTTTACATATCTACATTTAGTGTAAGATATCAAACTGTTCATAATGGAGAAAGTGCTTCCGCAATTTGGACTAATAGATTCCTCATTCGATTTTTTAGTTTTTTTTTATGATGCCAATATCGTTGATATATATTTCAGACCATAAAGTTGAAAAGCCAGTTAACACTTTAGACTAGCCAAGCACAATATACAACTTTGCTAGTTGCCTCAGCTAGCCATAACACTAGTCAAATACGTGACATTTCGTTGTCATTGAATTTCGTGAAATTTCGCCCAAGGATATGCTCAAATAGTGTACTGAATGGCACGTGGTACTTCTGTGACCACAAAATGAAATTACAACTAAAAACAATTTTTACATAAGATTAATTTCCTTATTATTTATTTTCATTATTTTAATTTCATTTTTATGTGTTTGTCATCAACGATTTTTTGAAACCATGACGTGGCTTTACTTAAGCAAAATAGATGCTTCCAAGTTTTCTATGCTGTGATACGTCCACATATACAATTACTATTAAGCAATATTTCAATACCAAATACAAAGTGAACAATAAAATTTACTAGAAATGAAAATCAATACTTTTAGGTGACCCAAAAGAATTTCCAGGCGACTCAGCTTTTGGTCGCGACTCGCGACCCATAGGCTGAAAGATCTATTTGGAATCCTTACCGTCAAACTCAAATCTACTCGGAGCGATAACATCTACTCTACTGTCCGTGGCTACTAAAACACACGGAAAACCAATTACGATACGTCGAAATGAAAAGAACTTGGAAAATAAAAAGAAAAGTTTGTTTTTGACAGATTTGAGTCACCAAATGCGACCTATGTTTCCCGCTCTGGACTTATATCTACTGTAATGTGTAATTAGTGAGTAGTAATCGCATCTATGTCCTGGACTTTCATTGAATTCCTACTGTTTTCACAAAAAAACTGTTGTAGCCATTTTGATTCACGGAAACCAAAGCTCCGAGAACAAAGAGCCACATCCGCAAGTTGCCGCTGGCGG